GAATTTTAATTCATTAATAAATAAAAGAACATGATTACCAAAATAATGGTCACCAAATGATAGATAAATCTATAATGAAAAGTCATAGAATTATATATATTCAAATTATTCAATCAATAAAATGTCATAAACAGAATTTGATTGAAAGAACAAAAAAAATGTGGGACTTCATATTGAAAAACACTATCTCAAATAATCAATTTTATTCAATAATTTTATCAAAAATATTTCTCTTAAAAAAAAAATTATTATGATTTATACATTATGAAGAGTTATTTATAAAACACTTTGCTATAAAATAGCACATAGTCGTTTTTTTCGTTTACGACCATAATCTTTATTCGGTCGTCCATAACCATCAGTTGAAACCTTTTTTTCATCTAAATCATCAAACCAACTATCAACACCACCCATTAGTATTTTAACCACATACTTAATAAAAATAAATGTTCAATAAAAAAAAATGAAAAAACAAATTTACTTATGAAAATAATATAAAATGGCTTACATCTCCAAAACTAAATGGAAAATTTTTTCCTTGACGTGCTTGAATTTCTTTTTTTTCATTTCTATAATCATCAACAACATCAAGATTAGGAATCTTCCTGTCCCACTTATTTAAATATTTAATACAGTCATCGTCGTCTATTGTAAAGAAATTTTAAAAAATCAAAACAAAACAACTCTATCAAATTCAATCATCAATTTTAATTTATCTTGTACCTGTACAAGCAATAATTGTTACAGGAATACGATTTGTTGGTTTACGTTCTTGTTTAAGAACATGTTTCAATGAACGAATATCTCGATTACCTTTATCATCTGTTGGTACACCATCAGTTGCTAAAAGTATTAGTAATTTACGTTCTTCTATTTCATGTTGTTTATCACGAAGTACACGTCGAAAAACTGAAACAATTGGAGTTGGACCTTATTAAAATAAAAAATAAAAAAAGAAGAATTCATTAAACAAGAAAACAACAACAACAGCATTCAACTATTTCTATTGAACATACCAGATGGTGGAACGGCAAAGACAGGTACCAATTGTTCTGAATTACGAACATGAAATACAGGTTCACGATTAAGAAAATAAATATCAACACCATCTGGATCAAAAACACTAGCTAGATCAACAACAATTGATACGGTTTGTTTTAATTCATCCCCTATAATTATAAAAATTAATATTCAAATATTGATCTATTTAATCATACATCGAGATAGCTTTTTATCATGTGGACCAGAAAGATCGCCTAAAATAATAAACGATAATTTAATTGAGTAAATATATTAGATGTTTCAAATCAAATTACCAAGTGGAGTATTCATCGAACCTGAATCGTCACATATAAATACTATTTCATAGCCTTCAAGAACACGTAATTTTGTCGCAAATGTATGGTTGACTAAATAATAATGAGAAAAACACACATTTTTTTTAAAACTTATTAAACTCACTTTCATAACGAGCAACAAGTTGTTGAAAATCAACAATACGCTCGTCAGCTGGCCGGTAATAATTCAGTGGTTGTTGATTAGCATCCATATTATTTTGATATGGTGGTGGTTCTTGTTGTATTTGTGAATATTGTTTTGCGCACATAGTTTTTCTTGTTCTATTTCACACGAGGTATTTGCAAAATTTGACTATCACCCACGATAAAAAGTTACTTATAAATTGTAGAAATCTAAAGAAGCGAAAGAATGAGTCTTATTTGCATTGAAGCAGAAGATAGATAGCGACGAGGAGAATGATGACACATTTATTTTTGAAACAAAAAGGTGGGTATGGGTGGGTGTGGATGTGGATGTGAACTTTCAAGAGAATGGACACACCAACACCCATACCTCTTTAATATTAAAAAAACTTTACTTTCAGATGATTACTTGGGTATTCAACTAAAGGATCTTTACATACATTAACTATACATATAACGTTACTTGAAATGAAGATGGAGAATATAACTGTATAGCTGATGGTAATGATAAAACTAGTGCAACATGAATGTTAAAGATAAATTCAAATATGTGTATCTACTTTTCTTTCTAACATGTTTAGCCATGCCTATTGCATTTACAAAACCACTAGAGGAATATGTTTATAGTTTTGGTTTTATCTTTCTTTCGAAAAAAAAACTATCACAGCTTGATTTTTTTAAAAATTAGTTAAAAAGAACTGATCTTTTAACATGAATTATTTATAATGTACAAAATTGAAAATCACGGAAATTATCTTTGCATGATTGATAACCAACATGCTGATGAAATATTAACTGTCAAAAGTAAGCTTTTTTTCTTAAAAAGAAAACCAATTGATAATTCGTAGGTATTACAGTGAATGCAGAGCATGGTAACTCATATCAGAAAAGCTAACAGTCATACTTCGAGGTATTTCCAAAGCCATCAGAAATGCAAGAGAACGGGAGATAGTTCTGCTCAAAAACAAGGTATCTCGTATCTCTGAGATAAATTATCAATATCGATTAGAACATTTTAGTGCGAATATCACCATACAGTTTAGTCGAGTCTGATCCTTAAATAAATGGTAATCAACCATTCGAATTATTATGTGTCCATTATCCAAATCTAATGTTCATCTTATATGATTAAAAGATAGAATACCAATGGGTGATAAATCACAAATAAGAAATGAAGGTTTAAGATACAGTCTTTTTATTCCATATAGAATTCAATCTGGACGATTATTTAATTTTTATTGATATTACTGATGAATAAGAAAGTAGTTGACAAGTATCTGTTGAAGGTATGATAATATTCTTTTATGGAAGTAATGAATGTCTATTTCAAGGTAAAGATGCTAAAGCAACGTGGTTTTTTATGGTATTCTCTTACGTTCAAATGTTCTTATAACAATTGATTTTAAGCCAAAATGAATTAGCATAATTAATTATGCAAGAGATTTATCTTGAGGATGATGATGTATATAGATTACGTTTGAGAAATCAATATGATGAAGTATTAATATCATGTGTAGTATCATTTTGTCAATGTTTACCTTTAGCTAATCAATGAAAAATGAATGTTGAACATTTGATACAAAATTAGAAATAAAAGTTTTTTTTTTTTGTTTTGAAATTTTATCAAATCAATACTTGTTTTCGAATAAATTTAATAAACCAATATCTTATGTACATATATATACAATATATGAATAACAAGAAAGTAATTTTTGAACAATTATAACTGATCAAACAGTACCAGAAATAACATGATATAGTACTTATAAGAAAATTGCAATATTTATTTTGATGTTTTCTTCATCGAGTTGTTAGTAGCATAAAATAATAAAAAATATCGTGTTACTCAAAATAAAAATACTTATCTATTAGTTGTATTACATATTAATGATAATGATGAATATGAATATACATGTCAAGCTGAAAATTCTGCTATGTACCAAAAGCATCCAAAAATTAAGCCAATTAGTATAAAAATAGACGCTTTTTGGAATGAAGAAAATTACATTGATTTCATTTTCATTTCGTCCCCAAAAACGCCCACCCAGTGAAAAATATTTGTAAAAAATAACGGTTGAGAATGCGTTCCAAAAAATTGAAAGCCCTTTTTTTAAGAAAAGAAAACGTTCCGAAAAAAATGGAAAGCATTCCAAAATGGAACGGTCTAGAACGCATTCTATCACTTTTGGAACGCTTTCCACCACTTTTGAAATGCTTTCTCTTCTTGAGAGAAGGTAACTTTCTTGATCATACGGCTAATCATTAATGGATAAATCTTTAATTCGTCAAAAGACCATTTCCGGGGTAACTCGACGAGCTCGATCGAATGGCGTGCTCCAAATCGTTGTAACTCAAACCGTTATTAAAATCATGCTTTTTCTAAATCAGAAGTAGCATCCCCAAAGAATAACTAGCTGAAGGTTCCACCATTTCTCACATCAGTTTCAATCTGCTTTGCTTCAGATCTTTGATTTTTGAATCGAAATGTGCTTTAATTTCAAAAGAAAGTATTCATCACTTAGAAGAACTCATTCTTTTAATGCTTCTCTAGAAAACGTAAAAGAAAGCGATCTTATTTCCATGGATTGCTATCTGTGCCGTTCCGAAAGAGAATGGACTAGGATGGATTCTATTGGTTTAAGAATGGTTCGGAATGCTTTCCCTTCAAATAGAGAACAATTTCTCAATAGAAAAGAAAGCATTCCGTCTTATTGTGGAACGGCAGAGAACGAGTTCCTTCAGACTGAGAGTGTTTCTTCTTGACCATGAACGCATTCACTAGCAAAAGGAACGCATTCTTTACATAGAAAAAAAGGTTTCCATATTTTTATGAAACCATTCTGTTCCGTTTTTTTTCAAAATATTTTTCACTGGACACTCTTTGATTAATTAGTCGTTGCAAAAATTAGTCTAGAGTTGAGTGTTATTGATAATATATATATATAAATATAGAATTTTTTTTCCTCTGTTTATCTTATATTTATTCATAAATTGAAAAGAATTAAAAAAAAAAGAACAAAAAATAAAAATTCATTTAATAAAAAAACAAATTTATGACCATTATGTTGACTTGCCAAAAATTAAAAAAATCTTATCAAAAAGTCTTACGAGCAATTTCTTATCGATATATATACGTTATAAAAGATGCTAAAGATAGTAGCGACGAAGACTAGGTTATTGTTTATATTGTTGTGTTATCAATAAAATTTATATTTCATATCACGATTGTTGATTACTCATTACTCAAAAAGTGGGCACTTTTGGGAACGCAATAAAAATGAGACCAATGTAATTTCCTTCATTCCAAAAAGCGCCCATTTTTATACTAATTGGCTTAATTTTTGGGCGCTTTTGGGAAGCTACGGAAAATTCAGTTGGAGAAAAAGCATATTCAGCTGATGTATATCTTATTGAAAAGACTGTGATTTAAACTAAAACCGTATGTTTAACATTTTCTTTTTGTGTTTTTATATATAAAAAGAGGTTTTTAATAGAACTGAAGAAATTACACCATCTTTTATGTGTACACTCCGATATTTTATAGTGATTGAAGGAGAACGTACTAAATGTCATTGTTTCATAACTGGTCAACCAAATCCAACAATACGTTGGTTATATAATTGTGTACCATTAGATATTGTATTTAATAAAAGAAAATATTCATTACAATTATTATCAAATGGTAAAGTAACATTAACTATTGAAGATTGGTCACAAGAAGCTGCTGGTGAAATAATAATTATTGTAGAAAATCGTGCTGATTTAATACAATGTTCAGCAGTGCTAAACTGTTGAATGTAAGTTTCACAAACTAATATTACGTAGAAATTTGCAGACTGTGTTAGAATACAATCCTATTTACTCCATGATAAAATGATTTGAAAGTGAACATAAATTCATTGATGAGCAAGTAGCGAATAAGGATAGCTGAACAAATGTTTCAACAATAGACATGCATCGTATACGAACGTTCGTTGAAGTTCTGTATCCAATAATGAACTCTTACAGTTGATTATACTAAGTCTACAGACAATGAAAAGAATAAAAAATACCTTAATAACAGCATGATTATTTGTAACATCGCATATAAAATAAAGTTTGAATTTAAGTTGGGATCATTCACAATCATATAGTCATGCACAATCATGTAGTTATATTGTTGAATTAAGAGGTTCAAGAATTTCCTCTTGGTCAACATATGCTTCTTCATCATCAGGTTAAAGAGGGTGTGGATGTGGGGTGTGGGTGGGGGTGGGTGTGGGTGTGTGGGTGTGTGGATGTGGGTGTGGGTGCGACTGCGGGTGTGGGTGTGAATGATGGAAATATCAACTCCCACACTCACACTCACACCCACACCCACACCCTCAGCGCATATTCTAACAAAATGAATGTTATTGCAAGTTTACTATTATGCTAGTAGTTTAAATATGATCAAATAGCATTAAAAAAAATTAGAGCTTTCTATAAGGAATTACGATACCTTCGCCACTACTTTTGGACTGACCTAAGTATATTGCCAGATCGAGCAGAATAACATGCATTTATTCTAAAGAGTAACAGCAGTGAAACTAATTAAAAATAGAAATTATCTTATTAAATATTTGCTTTTTGTGATTATAAAAAGTAATAAAGAGATATGTAGCAAGTTAGAACACATACGCGAATGTAATCACTCGCATCTTCATCATCGTATCAAGAAAATTCATATCACTTTCCTCTACGTAGTCTGTAGTATCAGCGAATATGAAATCAACTGATTGGGTGTCAGTGTGAATGTGCGGATGGGTGTGAGTATGGTCGTCGATCTAATTTCTCTCTTGTCTCACACACAGACTCGCACCCGCATTCTACATCCTAATATAAATTGAATCAGGTGAGAATGTCTACAGTTATTAGAAACAGAAATTAAAGAAATGTCTTCTAAATTTGAGATTCTCGTAAAGATTATGAAGGGAAATGAAAATGATGGGCTTTGGGATCAAAGATAATATTGAAAAACAGATTTTTGATTAAATTAAATAATAGAAATATTCAATTAAAATGACACCAAGATTTCCAAATATCTCTTCCAGTTTACTAAATCTGAAACCAATTTCAATTGATAGCCCTTCGTTTAAAATAATAATAAAAAAAAAACCTAGATGAAATACTCAAAAATTATAAAATCATCCTCGATTTTATGAATGTTTTTTTTAATGAAAATCAATATTAAATCAAGATAAAATCTCAAATAGATCAATGTGTTATTTCCAAAATAGAAATTTTTTCAAGGTTACTCATGATTCTTATTTTGTGAGGCGACTCGAAAACATGATATTCATTGTATATTACACGAGCTCAAGAATTCCTGTGTTGACTAGAAATAATTAAGAGAAGAACGGTCCGATCAATTTAATACGTATCGATAAAGATATATTAAACTTGATAAATTAATATCTGACAATAAGCGAACAGCTGAGTGTGGGTCTTCTCTTCATCATCTACCCACACCCACAGCTACCAGTTTTGGTTTTCTGAAGAATCTATCGTTAGAAATCTTATAATAATTTTTATTAGCTCATATTCTTATTAGAAACAATTTGAATTCTAAGGTTGCAGAAAATAATTGAAAATAAATCTTGTTGAACAAATTTTGGTACTCACTGTATATATATCGGTATGTCCATTCTGGCCAAAAGCCTCAATTCTTTGTTTCTTATCCTGTAACTTCTATGATATGTCAGAAAAACAGAATTTTTTATCAGTTATAGTACTAATAAAGTGTCATTGTTTAGATTATATTTATTATTCAAAACCCAAATAGTCAAACGTTTTCGTAAAATCTTTTGTTGAAATATACTTTATCAAAATTATTCGTTTATTATAGATTTTACTCGATTCCACGAAGAGATTTAATTATTTAGATCTTGAGCAAGATATATGGCCCCAAGAATACAAAGATGAAAAAAGTGAGGATGAAGACAATATAAACATTTGCATCGATGTAGATATGCACGCCACCTTTCGTTCTGTTGCGCTTATTGATTAAAACAGTTAAGCCAATATTATAAGAGGGGCAGGTATGAAGAAACAAATGTGTAGAGAGAACCACTGGGTTTTGATAAAATTGTCATAAATTTTTTATTTTTCAGTTGTTCAGAAACTTTTCTTTCCAAGACACCTAACTCGATACATCTTCTATCAATTTGTGATATTTATATGTAAAAATATTGTGAGTACACCAATCTACTAGGTGTTTTTGAGCACTACCGAGTGTTCCTGTCTCTTCCTCATGATTCATTATTATTTTCATTTCTCTTTACATATAGTCTATTTGTATATAACTGATGACGTGATGAAAGTGTCGTTGATTTAGAGGAAGTATACTTTTGCTATTTTGCTAAATAAGAAATTTCATCGGTCTGATAACGTTCAATATTTATATAATAAATAAACTGTTCTTGTTTAGAATAAATAAATACGATGAGTAAAGATCGAAATATAAGTAATTCTCCTAATCCGACTCAACAACCATCTGGATACATACCATGTCCAATACAAGCCGGTATCTCTTGCAATTGAATAATTTTCATGTTTTATTTATATACTTTAACAGATGATAGTTTTGATCAAAATAAAATGTCATCTCAACTGCCTCCTGTATTACCGCGTCCAGACTTTGTCAAAGGTTAGTTCTATTTTAATATTTGAAATTTTTCTTTTTTGGTAAAGTTATTAACAGATTTCGGATACATAAGTGTATCTTCAGGTTGTAAAGCTTTAAAAGTAAAAAAGAAAATCGCTGCTATACTTTATAAATATTTATTCATTCAATAATATTGACGAACGCTTTATATTTACATCTTTATATTAAGATAGAAATTGCCCTTTATCAATAAAATAAAATACATTTGACATTTTCACTTCTAATTATTGAATGATAACATATTGACAATAGAGTAGTGTTCTGCAGGAACGACTTTTTCTCTAAATTTCCCCATGTGGGCTTAGGGAATGGAAACCAAAAAAGTTGTTCCCACAGAACTCTACCATAGAGAACATTCTTTTTTCGTATTTCCATCTGAAATTTCTGAATAGAGAAGTAGCAGTATTATCCTTGTTACTTATTAATTTCAATTTCAACTTAATTTATCCAAGTCAAAGAATTAGTTATTACGATTTTAAATATTGATTACATAGATACCATTGTAGAAAAGTTCTTAGTATAATGCACACATAGTCAATTTTCTTGAAAACTGATTTACTCTCATAATTATGTTTTTCTTTAATAGAGTTCATCCTGTTGGCCAGGTTCGACATGGACCAAAAAAAAACCGAAACATAATCTCCAAGTAACAGTCAATTATGACTTGATTATTATAAGATCATTGTCAAGATTGTTAGAAAAACCCTGTAGATTATGCTACTAGCTGAATACGAATAATTGTTTAAAAGTATCTTGCATCTTCAAAGTCACTTGAAGACTCATACGAAAAATTTCTTTAAAATTAAGAGTACAATTCAGATACGAATCCGACAAAATTTGATGTTAATATACGTAGACAAAGTGCAAAAGTATACAGATTGTATTACATCGTCTCGTTCGAAGAAAATATTGCAAAGTTCGTGACACCGAATATTTTTCTTTTCGTAAATATAGATAGAATGAGCACAAGCTCTTGTAGAATTAAGTGGGTCTTGGAAAAAGTGTCGTTCTCTCATTGTTTCTTACTCTAGATAAGATAGTGTACAGTAGCATATTTACTAGCAAGAGCCTGTGCATACTGCACGGATGCTTTTTTCTTGTAAGGTTTCACATCTGTCCTTTAGCCTTGATTCGATAATAGACAATCAGACAGTTCGCATTATATATAGAGAGAGACCCTATAGCCTTACACCCTCGTAGCCTTATCTACTTATCCGCTATACCTTTATCTTCTTATATTCTTTTAGCTTTATCGCTTATGCCTCTGTAGCCTTAGCCTCTTATCCCCTTTACTCTTATATCTTTATCCCTTATCTCCTATCTCCTTTATAGCCCTTGAGAACCTATGAGTTCCCAGTAGCCCTTAGCACCTTCTCCTTATAACCATTAACCTTTGGCCCGGCACAGACAGACCCACAAACTGAACATTATATATATAGATTATTGATATCGAACACAAAAGTATTTGATAGTAAAAGTGATTTATCATCAGTTTCACCTGTTCGATTTACTTAATATCTTTTAGTTGAATTTTTATTTTTGTTTTTATACAGATGACAGAAAAGTCGAAATTCAATGGGGAGATTTCACTGATCTTGAAAACAAAGGAATTCGTCGTGTATTTATTCGAAAGGTTTGTATTGATTGAAATCCATAAAAAAAACATTGATTTTAATAATTTTTATATATAATAGGTCTATTCAATTCTTATGATTCAATTAACAATTACATTTGGTCTTATTGCATTATTTCATTTTATGTATGTTCTTTGTTTTTTTTTCTAATCAAAGATATTGAAAGTAACTATCTGATATACATAATGTAGACCAGCAATTCGTGAATATGTACGAAGTCCAGATGGTCGATGGCTTTATTTTACATCATATGTTGTCTTTATAGTTACTTATTTTGCATTGGTTTGTTCAAAAAATGCAGCAAGAAAATTTCCACTTAATCTTATTTTACTTGCCATTTTAGTAAGATAGAAAATTACATTAATAAAAAAAATAAAATAAAATTTTTGCATTTTAGACATTATCAATGGGCTATATGGTATGATTCTATTTAAACATTATTTACTTACTAATTTTTTTTTGTAAAAACTTTAGAT